CTGGTTGGAAGGCTATCTCAAGGGATCCAGCGACGAAATTCTTTCAAAATTTCTCCGCTTCTGCCCTGCTACAGATATGCTATTGCCTGATCATGGCATTTCAGTGCGCACAGAGGTCATGCCACTTGTAGCTATTCGCCCGAAATCGTACACTTGTTTCCGCAGATTAACTCTACCCAGAAACTATCAGTCATATTCACAGATACGAAATAACCTGGAATTTTACCTTCGAGACTGTAGTATCTGGAAACTCAATGACTAGTGGCAACTTACTCGACAATAGTGATTCCGAGCTGTAGGGGTCAATCACAAGTAGAACATTTGGACCTGACTTTTGTACAGTCAATATTTCATAATTTGAACATTTCTTTTTTAGTTCCTGTTGCTTCACAGTTCAAATAATGTACATCTTTGCGGTGTGCTCGATACTTGTAATTTGTATTTGTTGTTTTCATAGACGTAGGTATGTGGGCCATGAAGTTGGATCCCATTTTGTTGAAGCCAACATTTGCATTTCTCTTCTGTTTTGGGAGATTAGAAAAGCACTCAGTTAGGTTGGTTGTGTTACGTTGTCATGCCTCCTAATGGCAGAATTCAGTTTGAAAACAAATTTATGCAATGTACGTTTTGTTATTGTTCCAGGACTTTAGGTTTACATCAGATTTTTTACATCAGATTTGGGGAGTAATCTCGTAGTATTTTCCAAATGATCGATTGATAAGAATCACTGTATGTAGCACGTAAGATGAAGCACATAATGCCTGCATCGTTAAACAGGGAAAGTGCGAGAGTTAGTTTGATATAGCTAAAATTATTTTTTAACGATTTGTTGCAGTTATGGGAACGCATGCAATTTCTTTAATATAGACACTTTCACATGTATGGCGTATGCTGCTCCTATGAAAGAGTCTTTTTATCACCCCTATTCAATTATTACTGAAAATATTCCTAAACTACTTTCAGATTTATTCTGTAAATGGCTTGTGTATTTGTGTTTTTGATCAGAAGAGCTGTTACTTCAATCGTTTCTCTCAGAACTCAGAGCTACTACCTGTATCCAGCCTATCCAACCTGATCCTTTTATCTCTTCTCCCCGGATTGTGCCACTAACGAGAGTTAACCGATTGAAGGAGTCTCAGTCGCAGTTTCTTGTGCAATTCCTTGTTTTAAACGATTCAGCAGAAGATGAATCATGTAAGATCACCTCTTGATTATAAAAAGAAAGCCGATAACAGCAATCTGGGTTTAAGTGATTTGGAAAATAGTATACAACTTTCTTCTAGGTATACCATTCTCTAAAAAATGTGAAAAGTTGATATCCCAAGCAATAGTAATATAAGGTAGTGGCTATGGGCGGCCGTCACCACCAAAAATACAAGGATGTCAAATAGATCAGTAAATACAAAGATGGTTTCAGGATCAGCTGCAGGATAGCATAGCTAATAAAGGAATGGTATGGCCAAATTATAGACACTCTAGATTTCCTTCATGAAACAGAACACCCTAAACATAAATAGTTTAGCCTAATCATGATGATAAACGGTCTAGTTGCCCATGTCGAGTTGGAACATGAAATTGTGAAATGGACCAGCTAAATTACGAATAGTCTAGCACTCATTTGCAATACAGTACACAAACGGTGTTGCGTGGCGTCAAATGACTCAGAGTAATATGGAGCAGCATAGCGTACGAACAAACGGTGTAGCGTTGCGTGAAGTGGCTCAGCGTAATATTGAATGGTTCAGCGTGCATACAAACAGTGTAGCTTTGCGTGAAAAGGCTCAGCGTAATGTGGAATGGTACAGCGTACACACAAATGGTGTAACGTTGCGCGAAATGGCTCAGCGTAATGTCAAATGGTACAGCGTACATACAAACAGCGTAGCGTCGCGTGAAATAACTCAGCGTAATCTCAAATGGTACAGCGTACACACAAATGGTGTAGCGTAGGGTGAAATAGCTCAGCCTTCACGTTACGCCACAAGCAAGCTCGACGATTTGCCACTACATCGAAATATTTCATGTAATGCTGAGCAATTTAATGTTCAGCGAGAGCGTCTGGTGTTCAGCAAAGCTATTCGACGTAACGCTACACCATTCGTGTGTACGCTGTGCCATGCGACATTACGCTGAGCCATTTCACGCAACGCTACACTGTTTGTATGTACGCTGTACCATTCTACATAATGCTATTTCGCCGAAACCACCAAAAAGACAAACCGCAAATGGAACTGTGATCTGCTGGGGGGCATGACGTCATCGAGTGTGAAGACTGGCGCGAAACCATCACATAGTGTAGTCGCTGTGTTGAAGAGCCTTCACTTCACCTTGTCGTAAAGCAGTCAATTCGGTAAGTTTCTCCTCTTTTTTCCCCAGCTGATATTGCATTTATTCGTTGTCCTTCATGAAAGTGTTAATTAAAATAGCAACAAGACTGGATTCTACTACGGTTTGCCGGCCTCCCGGTTTACCACAGTTTGCGCGCGTTGGTGTGCCTGACGCATTGTCTTTGACGCCAGGAGGTCCCGTCTTCCCATTGGTTCGCGGTTTAAGGAGGCGAGATGATCTCTTGGTGTGGCCTAGTTGTTTACAAACCTTTAGGAGCTAAGAATAGAATGACTAGTTTATTAAACTCTATGGCAGTAAAGGACCTGAATTATCGAGTGTATTTTACAATCTTAAGGCATCTATTATCTAAAAACTAAAAATTAACGACTATAACAATGATAATAACATTTGGATCATTTAAAATATTCAAATGTAAAAAAGTCCTCCGTTCTCTTTGTCCTACATATGGGAATGTTTCGGAAGAGATAGTACTTTTGTACATATGATGCACGATCCTCACAGTAGATAGCGCTATTTAAGCAATAGCGAAAATCAGACCTGAAAAAAATCAGGCCTGTACGGGACTCGAACCACTGACCTCTGCGATACTAGTGCAGCGCTCTACAAATTGAGCTAACAAGCCAACTGGGAGCAGGCCGTTAAGTTGATTCGTAATAAACCCGTGAAAGTGATAAATGAGATACAATGAAATATATGAAGTTCATATATTTTGTACTGCGGTATCAGATACATATGAATCACGACAGAAGGTAGCGATTATACGAGGATCACTCTTTGAGGAACCAACCTCAAGCCACAGGATACGGCGGCTGTAGCCATCTATCGCTCCTTGTATGCAAAACTCAAATGGCTTAAGTTTATCAAAGCCATCAATGTGTCAAATATAATTTGGACCTTTTGATAGGTCTTGTCGTCTTCGTAACTTATGACGAGTTCGTTCACGAACTCCATTAGGATCAAGTACAATAAGGATCGACGAATCTCTTCCCTATCCACTATCATACCATAGTCTAGAGTAATTCTTTGATGCATCCGACGGTAGCCTAACAAGCTACTGCGACTCTTGCTCTTAAAATCACTTCGTGGGGATTACTGCTCGTTCCCCTTCTTCTCAAAACAAATTCTATAAGAAAATTCATTACCTGACGAGGGAATTCTACAGAGAATTCTTTTGAGATGACGAACGCTAAGCCGAATGCCATAGACGATGCAAAGAAACGCGAAAATTTCAGTGTAGCCAAATCCTCGATTAAAGTGCTATTTAATTTAAATGAAATTAAATTAAATAGTACGTTAATCTAGGATTTGGCTACACTGAAATTCTCGCGTTTCTATCAGCAGATTTCTGCTCCACTGACCACTAGGTAAGGCGGGAAGATAGGGTGGAAGAACACTTTCTGCAGCTTAACTTTTTGCAGAAAGAACTGAAAGGAATAACATCCAGACCGTCTTAGCTCAAGCGATTGCTTCCTTCTTCCCCCCCCCCCCTTAGTACCCAATCGTCAGTTATGTATAAAGTTTCAATTGAGGGTTTTTAAAGAGAAATTTACAGTTTTAAGTAGAAATCTACAGTTGTAAGTGTAAATTTAATGTTGTAAGTGTAAATTTACAGTTATAAGTGGAAATTTACAGTTACAAGTAGAAATTTACAGTTATAAGTGTAAATTTACAGTTATAAGTGTAAATTTACAGTTATAAGTAGAAATCTACAGTTGTAAGTGTAAATTTACCATTATAAATGGAAATTTACAGTTATAAGTGGAAATTTACAGTTATAAGTGAAAATTTACAGTTATAAGTGTAAATTTACAGTTATAAGTGGAAATTTACAGTTATAAGTGGAAATTTACAGTTATAAGTGCAAATTTACAGTTATAAGTGGGAATTTACAGTTATAAGTGGAAATTTACAGTTAAAGTGAAAATTTACAGTTATAAGTGGAAATTTACAGTTGGTAGCTCCCTTGTAGAATCAGACACTATTTATTGCCTATGTAATATTTATTGCCTATGTAATAAGTATACTTAGAATGTATTCAAGATATTATGAATGAATGGCAGTATACTTAAAGTGTACTTCCCTTGCAAACTGGATCTTGGAATTCCCAAAAAACCTAGAAATTCCTAAAAACTCTATGTTCATAGCCAACAGGACTTGGAATTCCATGGAATATTCCTACGAAATCTTAGGAATTCCAACTCAGAGCACCAATGACTTCCCTGAAATACTGTGAATCTAAAAACTTGCTGGAAATTCCTAGGAATTTTTAGGAATTTCAAGCAATGTTTAAGAATTACTGGGAACTTTAGGAAAACTTCAAGGCAACTAATATCAAATAAATACATGCATTAACTCCTAACTAAAAATTCTAGTTGTCAATGAAATTTATTTACATGCACCATCAGTATAATGTAGATAAGTAAGAGTCAATTGAAATGCTGTGCAGCAGCTATCTATTAGTGTTTCGAAACAGGGTTACTTTTAATTTGGTAACTTAATTTAAATAAATTTCCAAAAAAAAATTGTGTTTCTATTATGGCCCTAACCAGCCACCGTAGAAAAGTGTTATCCTCATACCTGGTTGTTTGGATTTGCTTTGAAAGTTCTAGCTTTGAAAATCAACCTCATTAAGAGACAGGTATAACGCGAGTATATGAAAATTTAATTACATCACAGCACATGAACTACAAATTCTTCCTACTGACTTAATCAGGATATTTGATTTTGTGTTTTTGCTGGATTCAATCTCTGACTGTCGGTCAATGCAGGCCATGGCAAACATTTTAAATTCCGAGTAGCCGAGTTCCTGAAAGCGTAAGTAAGATAGATCAGTTAAAAATACCGCTTAGCTACTTCTTATGTACACACCACCGAGAACATCATCATTAACGCCCCAAGAATATCGCGGTGGGCGAAATCAAATCTGCGTGTTAATTGCGAGAAGAAAGCGTCGATTGCCTAAGGTGGCCAATTTACCATTTCAACTTTGTTGATATATCCAAATTATTTCGTTACTCCCACCGACGCAGCCCCAAACAGTTTCTTTCGAAACTATCAGCCTTTAAGGTGAAAATGACCTAGTAAAGGTTAGCACTTTGAAGGTTTTTCTATCACCTCTTTCCCGACCTCCTTTAACAAAACTGAACTATTTTAGATAGCTGGATACAGAGAGAAAGTGGAAGAGTTTCAACATCAATTGGGGTGTGCCCTGTTTTTTTTTTCTCCTGCCTTTGTGGTACCTTTTTATTCATATTTTTGTGTTGTATGTTGGCGAACCTCAATAAACTAAACTAAACTGTTATTCAGTTGTATAACCTTCCCAACTGCTTCCCTCCATTTTCAAACCTGGTCTCCAGAAACATCAAATTCCCTGAATATAGTTTGAATAGCTTCGCCTTGTAAGTTGAACAGAAATCCAAACGTTTCGAACTCATAGGCAGAGATATTTCCGCTGTTATCTTCATCTAAGAGGTCGAATACGGTCCTTGAATGGCGGAAAATGAAGTTCTTCTCCACGTTATCTTGAACCGCGATAAGAATACAAATAAGAAGGTAGAATTCGTCAAAGTCCATTGAACCAGACCCATCTACATCTAACATGTCAAACACTTTGTAGATTTGATTTGTGCTCAAGTCAGTGGCTGTCTTCATAAATGCACAGAACTGCAGATCATTGAGAGCCATTTCACGATGAACATCAATCAGGCGAAACAATTCTAAAATTATGCGGACATTCCTGCCTGGGAAAAAATTTCATAACACATAATTGGAGACCAGAAAGACAAAGGCTTACAATAACAGTGGTTTGAATGAAGGCAGAAGCAAAGAACCTCGGCGCAGCATCTTTAGTCCTTATATTGTCTCAAAGCAAATAACCCTGGTCTCTGGTAAAGATTAGTATCCGTTGTACTTCAATGCAGGAAATTCAAGGATGGGGTAACGAAGGTTCATTAACTCATGTAACAGAAAAACACAGAAGCTTGCAAATATAATATTTCGTGAACTGTTCTTGCGTGTTCCCCATCATGATCTCTAAATCAAAATCAAAACTCCTCTTTGACCTCCTAATTTGATAATTTTCTGCGCGAGACTCGATGGCTTGGAACCCTCTGTGGGACACAAACTTTACTCTGTGTAACTCCCTGCTGGCAGATGCAATTGACACCTTCACTCAGTTGACAAAGGTCCTTTGTAATGAGATTCTGTATCGCAAAAAATGTTTTGTGAAATGCTTGATTAGAGGCATTCGTTTGGTTTAATGATTAGAGCGCAAAATGATCTGAATGATTGCTTTCCCACGCCGCAGCGGCTCACGAATCTTGCGTGAATAATGGTAAGATTTCCGCACAGCCCCTTACTTCATCTGCACAAAGTTCTTGGAAAAAGACAACCATGATCAAAACATTAGATTTCCTTCAAGAATACAGCTTTGTTGTACAATAGTACGAAGCTGTGCAGAAATCTTCTCAAATTTTGTTGGAAGCCAGACAAAGTGTCGTCTACCAGGAGCACACAAAGCTTTGTGAAACAACCTATAAAGTTCAAGAGAGCGTTTTTTGTTCCTATCGTCAGAACCAACAATAAATAAAAAATCACAATTCGAACAATATTTACCGGTTAGCAGACAATAAGTTCTATCCAAATGCATGTACTTTAAAATCTGGGAACGTATCTTCATTTCTTATCTGTGGTTTGAACTTCACTCGTTCATTCTCCTTTGTTTCTCCTGTGACGTTTTTACTTCAGGGAGCGCGCGCTATGCGCGCGGTTACTTTTCTCATTGCAATCCATGATGACCTTTGTTTTACCTCGAAAATGAAACCTTTCTCTACGGCCGTAAGCCGTAGTCCCCAAAACAAAAATATGGTGAGGGCACCGCACAGCCCCCCACGTTACGAAAATATGACTTAATTTTGTGTGTGGGTACCCAATCCAATACTCAGGTGAAAGATTGTAGACTGTACCGGAAAAAAGTAAAGTCGCAAATCGATTAAGGGCACATTCGAAACTGTAAAGATTGCAAAGAAGTTTGCTTGTGCCGAAGAACAACGCGAAGGGCATTTTGGACAAATTTGAGTAGGGGTATGTGCCAGGCTGGTTTCAAAACGCTCCGCCGCATCCGTGAGAAAATGAATATCCCAATTTTCCTTATAAATACTAAAGGCACAAATTTTGTTTGTAACTGAATGCAGAAATATGTTTTGACAACAGATAGATTAAAACCATGTTTATTGTAAACGCAACTAGCAATTTTTTACCTATATCTTATTCCGTCTCATCTATAAATACTTACAGCAGAAAATAACTGGATGAAAGTTTACCCACATTGATGTACAAACAACTAGAAGGCCGACCGCGAGTGACAGCTAAAAACTGCATTCCACAAATCTACGATAACAGACAAATTTCCTCTTTTTAAACCTGTAGGAGAGTGTTATGGTAACCAAAGAAAATAGGGTCACGTTTACTGCGTCATGTGACATGAAATCAGCTTTGATCCGGCGTCACGTGTATCCCGTCAGCCTGTTTGTGGCTAACTTCAGAATGCAATCTACTGTTGGAGTGTAAAAGGTCACCAGTTCACGTGACTCTACAACGCAATCAAAGTAAAAACAGTTGGGATGAGTCAATATCGTTTATCATTCTGTTGCTCATTCCCTCGTTCGCTCATTCATATATCCTTTCATAAGCAGGAAAAGCCTTAAAATACATACCTTTATAAAAATAGTGTGGTTCGCACTCACTGAATTTGCAATAATAAAAGAAAAAGCAACGGACACCAAATGCACTATTGTCAATTTAAGTCCACCGCTAACCTGTTTCTTTTGACAGTTAGCCACCCACCACTCGCAAGGACTCTCCCAATGCCTGATCTTTAGCAGAGAAAAGTGCTTTTTCCACGCAGTCTTGTGCGGTAAAACGATCGGCAATGCAAATCTAAGATTTCAGTCTAAAAAGCTCTTACTTTCTGTAGCCCTACAATTCTCTTAGAGATAAATTATGACAAAAGAGATTCCGTTCTTTTACAAATTCGATTTTCTTAAGCTCAGGAAAAAAAGAAGAAACAAAATATATTACCAATGAAAATTTTCAAGAGATAGAAAAGGGGAAAAGTTTCCAAAAGTTGCTGAAGAACACATCAAACCAACGACTAAATTACGGAAACAAGTAAAACCCTCAATAAAAAAGAGTCAGGGTTCTTACTCATCAAAAGAAGAGAAACCTATTACACGGAATAGCTGGTATGGACGAACTGTTGCCTCACATACCAAGCCTGAGAGTAAAAAAAGGCCATGAGAAAAGAAAAAAACTTACCATTAGCTTTGCTCGTGGAGAAAAGAGAAACTTTGGGAGGTAACTCTCTACTATGTTTCACAACACATTCATCCAACACAAGACTCTGAAAAAAATAAGATTTCTCGCTGAAGAGGTTCGCCAAAATCATTAAAATAAAACTTGATGAAGAAGCTGCTGACATACCTCAAGTATATCTTGCAATGCCACTGGTCGTAAGGCTTCAAAGAAATGCTTAGCAATCTGGCTCTGAAAAAGAAACAAAAACAGAACTTATCATAAACAGTTTTTCACTCTGAATGGACAGATTTACAACTACCTCGTCAACGAGATCGCCTCGCCGATTTTGTTCTGACAACGATTACTTCAACGGCAATTCAAAGAAAACAAAGAGGCGATTGTATCATGACATTAGCATAGCGCTCATAAACTAAAGAGAGGATAAAAAGAAAACAAAGAGGCGATTGTATCATGACATTAGCATAGCGCTCATAAACTAAAGAGAGGATTAGGGAAGAAAATGATGAGGCCAAACATTACAATAATCAACTTGAAATCTGGCTTGGAACGCCTGACCATATTTTACTGTTAACACGTTAGAGACATTTTCAATTCAGTGTCGAAAGTAATCTGGAATTGCTTTGGTTTAAGTTAACTTTTCACTGTGATTGGTCCTGAAAAGTCACGCCATCCCCTCAACTGATCAGATGCAAAACTAAAACAATCACGGCTCGGTCATTCGCGTTTTCCCACACGCGCAGTTTTGTTGTTTTCATTTTGAGTTCTCATTGGCTAATAACAGCGACCCTTTGCTCTCTTTATTCGCTGGAATACCTCGGTTTTCGTTTTTCGACTCTCATTTGAAACCTGCCCCAGTCTCGCTAAGTGTCATGCTCATAAAATTGTTCAGAAGTCTTTACCTGTGATATTAAACGTTGCTAAGTCTCGCTAAGTGTCATGCTCATGAACTTGTTCAGAAGTCTATACCTGTGATACTAAATGTTGCTAAGTCTCGCTAAGTGTCATGCTCATAAAATTGTTCAGAAGTCTATACCTGTGATATTGAATGTTGCTAAGTCTCGCTAAGTGTCATGCTCTTGACATTGTTCAGGAAGTCTATACCTGTGATACTAAATATTGCCAAGTCTCGCTAAGTGTCATGCTCATGAAATTGTTCACTGAGAAGTCTATACCTGTGATATCAAATGTTGCTAAATCTCGCAAAGCGTCATGCTCATGAAGTTGTTTACTGAGATGTCTATACCTGTGATATCCCAGGATTCTCAAGAATCACCCTGAGGACCATCTCTCGGAACCTGCGCAATAGCCGTTGACTTGTGTCACCATCAATTGTGATCCATGGGCGGCTCACCACAGAATATTGATCATAATTCCTGGTAAAAATTGGTGAAAACAATAGAAATAGCTCTTACGCGTTATTACTTAATTGGCAGATTATTTATCCTTAGCGTAGTCCTTTTGTAAACTAAATTTACGTAGCATAAAAATTCCTTGCCTGCGAAGCAGACCTCTCGTTTCCCAGTTTCACTTAAGATTCAAACCTGACTCTATAGCGAAGATATACAAGAAAGATATTTTTAAATACATTGACTAGTGCCGTACGTCTGTTGTGCAATCCGTGCCTGCTTTCATATTTGCAGATTTTCTAACGCGATCTAAACGTTTGCACGTAACTAGTCAGCTTACTAAGCACTTCCCACTGCTGGATCTGAAATGCGAAATACAAGTTTGGATGGCCAGAGTATTCAACCATCAGCGTGCGTGGTTTTGTATTGGCACTATTTAATGGGAAAATAATTTACATTCGTTTGAGCGTAGCAACTTAGAACAAAAGAAAAATTTTTCCTTCGATGCACAGCTCATTGACTACAACACTTTGGCGTGTCTCTGAACAGTCCAAGGCTGAACAGAACAACAACATACAAGTAAGGATTGTGTTTTTTATTTTAAAACTACCAGATCAGTCAAACTACAGTGAAACCCCTCAAAACCGGACGCCCTTGGGACCGGAGGAAATGTCCGGTTTAGAGGGGTGTCCGGTGTACTGAGGTTTTACCAATAAGGCAATTTTATGCAGCATAATGTACTATCTGACTGTAAGTACCAGTATATGGTACACGAGCACTAATAAAGCACATCAGTAAAGGAACTAACAACATGGATCACAAGGAAGCTTTTCGATGTCATTTTATTTAATCTACAAAAAAAATTCCGTGTTACACACGGGGTAATACACCGAATGCAAATATGGCGTCCAATTTGAATTGCCATTGTTCTGGACTCATTAGCCTCTCACACGTGTGATAGTCGTTTTGTGGTTCCACGTGGAAACGAAGTTAGTGAGTCCAGAACGATGGCAATTCAAATTGGACGCCATATTTGCATTCTGTGTATATGATCACCGCTTTTAATTCATTTGTAGACTTCTTCCTTCTTTAAATATCACCTACAGTTAATTTACCGATCCAAAATTTACCGCTTAGAACCTTCAGTGTTGGTTTAAGCACTGATTCCGCGCATTTGATCACCTCAATTCTCTTCTCTAACGATAACTCGATTCGTTGGCGTTTCGCTGGTCTCTCAGACATAGTAATGTTTGCTACTTCGTTTGTTGTCGCAAGTGATTTCACCCGCAACATGACAGTCTCTTAAGCTGACCCCTGTTGTTGTCTTTCATTCAACCAAACAACAGCGGCACGATTGTCGACTTACCGATAGAACAATGACTAATAAGCCGATGCGCGTTTCTCATTTCTGATTGAGATTTCACAGCTGCATGATTACGATTTTAATACCCCACTACCGAATTTCCTTTAGCCTCTTTTTCAAAGCGAGTCCTGGTGCTCATCCTTTTGCATTGTAATAAGTTTTCATTAAAATGCAAATTAAACTCATTTTCATACGCATGGTTGAGCACCAGGCCTCGTTTTGAAAAAGAGGCCACACGTAATTCGGAAATGGACTTGATTTAGGCGGCAAGCTTAAAACTTTCACGTCCGGTTTAAGGAGGTCAGTTTCTTTGTCAGTCTGTGATTACGGACTGAAAAAAGCGTCCGGTTTCCGGAAGTGAGGGGTTACGGTTTATTGAGGTTAAAAATAGAGAAAATGTATGACAGAGATTTTGGGGCCGAAAAAAAGGTCCGGTAAAGAGAGGATTCCGGTTTAATGAGGGTCAGGTTTAGAGGGGTTCCACTGTACTTTGCACCACATAAGGACACTCTACTCTACTCTACTCTGATGGTAACAACAACAAAAAGATAAGGAAAGGTGTGGGCCCTATCATCACTTGTGCAAAAAACAACGAAAAACTACAAGACTGATTATCTGTATTATACGTATGATGCACGATCCTCGCAGTAGAGAACGCTATTTATGCAACAGCGCTGCACTAGTATCGCAGAGGTCAGTGGTTCGAATCCCGTACAGGTCTGATTTTTTTTCAGGTCTGATTTTCGCTAAATAGCGTTCTCTACTGCGAGGATCGTGCATCATACGTATCTATAACCGCAGTTCAAAATATATGAACTATCTGTATTATGACAAAGACAAACTTACTGGATTCTGTATTTCTTTCCTTTGTCCGGTTTTTCCCGTTCTTCCGTAGTCTGGGGTGTTCCTTCTTTACTGAGCCCGGTATTTTCGACGAGATGAGCGTCCTCTGAGGCAGCACCATCATGAGCTTGTTGTTCATTGGTAGGATTTGATATGTTTGTTTGTTCGGTTACATAGTTTTCCTGGTTAGTTTTCGTGTCTCCAAGTGCATCTGGGTCTTCCTTGATAACTTCCTGGTGCTTTGACAAGACACTGGCCTCTGACAAAGAGTTCCCAGCAGTTGTAACGTCTTCAGTATGTTTGGCTACCTCTCCTTCCAATTGCTTGGAAACCTTGGGCTTAAAGTAAAAAAGTGCAGAAAGCTGCTTACATTTTTAGGCACTATTTTTTAGAGTCTAGAGAGTAATCCAAGATTGCTATAGATATCCCTTTCTTCGCTCAATGAAGACTCGCACCACAGTTTTAACCAAACACAATCAAACATAAAACTAATCACGACTTGATCATCGCGTTTTCCGGCGCTTTATATACTTCGCTCTGTGATTGGTTCAGAAAAGACTCGCAACTCTTTTAACCAAACACATTCACACCGAAAACCAATCACGACTTGATCATCGCGTTTTCCGGCGCTTTATATACTTCGCTCTGTGATTGGTTCAGAAAATACGCGCAACTCTTTTGACCAAACAGATTCAAACCGAAAACCAATCACGACTTGATCATCGAGTTTTCCCGCGCTTTAGATACTTCGCTTGTTTTTATTTTGATTTCTCATTGGCTCATGTTGATATCTTCCTTTGCTGTACTTGGCTGATATTAATATCTTCCTTTGTTCTCATTAGCTGATGTGATTACCCTACTTTTGGCTCTAAATCGAAATCTGCTTTGAAGAAAGAAAGGTTTAGGGAAAACATTGTCAATACGGTAACAATTAAAGGAAAGATTCTCTTCCAAAAAAATAAAGACCTAACAAAATACCTTGAGGACAGTGACACACCAGGGTTTTACAAAGCTTGCAGTGACGAGACATTCCTCATACAGACCAACTCTGTAAAGCTAAATTTTGGAAAAAAAAAAATAATACCATAATAAAATGGTAACGACATTGACGATAGAGACGGCTTTAAATATTTTGGAAAGTGAAAAGGCTAGGGGAATAATAAAACAACTGTACTGAAAATAGGTTATGAGGCTTTGGTTTCCCTTATAGAGTGTCAGCAATGATAAGAACAGAATCAATGAGACATTCTCGGTGCTACCAGAAACAAAAGCTGTTTTCACAAGGCGATAAAGCTAACATCCTCTGACTGTCATTAAATATGTGAAAAGCTTTTATTAACGAGATAATTATTCGTTCAACTGAAACCCTCGTTGGTGATGGAAATTTGAGGCCTACTCTGGGACCCGACTTCGGGGGGACTACAAATTGACAGAAAAAACATTGCAACTTTAGGCAATTTGAGGAGATTTAAGGCCACTTAAGATGCCTTAGGGTGACTTAAGGAGACTTTAGGCAATTTAAGGCGTTAAGGTCCCAGACTGGGCCTCATCGGAGTGATCTTTGTGAATATCATTTGGTGCAGCGTTTTCTTTCCTTTGCCTTGTTTTTGGTGTTTGGTTGCGTTTAAATGTTTCCTTGTTTCTAACAAAAATATTGAAATGTATATGCTGGGATTAAAAGTTGTCCTTGGTTAAAATTATTCGAATTCGTTTTATGTCTTGGAGTCATTGATTATCTTCATAATCTGAGACAATAACCTGGCTCAAACATATACACGAAATAGGGGGAAAATACACTTTCTATTCGGCCTCACTAGTCTGACTATCAAACAGATTTACATGACATTTATTGGTCATTTCAGTTCTTTATCTTACCACTGCCCTTAGTATCCTTACCAGTTTTCCTTTACACATGTGCTCCACGTGTTTTGCGAGAGAATATTGCGATGAAGTAAGTTCATGTTTGTGGTTCTCCTCGAGCCTCGTCTGAAGAAAATTCATCATGAGTATGAACATCAAACACAAAGAAAGCAATAGTAAAACAACTGTAGAGTGGTCAGTGCGTCGGACTCGTAATCCGCCGCTCCCAGAACTTAAAGACAAGTGTGGTAACATGCGTTATTTTTTTACGCTCCTCCTCTCGCGCGTGTCACTTCGGGCCGCCCTGCGCTTGTCTCTGTTTGACTGGAAAACAAAAAAATTACGCCTGTTCTACACGCTAAAGACGAAAGAGAAACATTACGCCACTTACTAAGGTCATGGTAACCAAGTTTGTAATTCTTACTGTTGCTGATTTTTAAGCAGTTTGTTCAGAATATCTACCGGACAGATGATCAGATAATATGCACTGAAAATACTCACGAACAGCAGCAACCACTGCAAATTTTCGCCATAATTATTTACCCTTCTCAATGGGATTTGAAACCATCTATACTCAATTAGTATAATTTCAGAGCTGAGCAAAGAGTTTCCAGCAATCTGATTGGTCGAGCGGTTCCTTATATGACGCTATATAAACCGCTCCGCGCGGTTTATATAAAATGTTAAACTAAAATGTTAATAAATGTTACTAAAATGTTATGATTTTAAAGATTTCTCTGTTGTTCAGCTCTG